GTAGACAGGTATCGGCCCTCTCAACTGTACTGGCCTGGGACAACCTAGCCTCTCTGGCGCAACATCCAGCGATTAGCGCCTTTTTGAAGGGTCCGGCCAACACTAAACCTCCTGTTATACACAGGTACCCATCATGGAATTTGCCTAAAGTTCTTCAAGCTTTGACATCAGCACCATTTGAGCCTCTTGACTCATGTTCTCTGTATCACCTATCGTTAAAGGTAGCCTTTCTAGTGGCTATTACTTCAGCGAGAAGAATCTCGGAACTAGCCGCGCTGTCAGTGAGGAAGGATCTCTGCACCTTCTTCAAAGACAAGGTCGTTCTTAGACCAGACCCGGCATTGGTCTTTGCTTCTTCTGATTGTCTACGTTGCAGAAGAAGGGGTTGTCAGGTGGAATAAATTCCTCTTCTGTCTCTAGAGATTCTTCTTCTGGTATATTTTGATTTATACCATAATCAGACATAGCCTGAAGATCAATTTGAACAGATGTAGAGAATCTCTAGATCTTGGTTCTAAAGTACAGTTTTGAATTGTAGCACATATTTCAACAGTAGTCTCATAGATCTTTTCCAATATGAGTGCATAGTTCAATTGTGGCTGTGTCTCCATTTTAGATACTAATGCATGAAAGAAAATCTCGTTTTCTTTTTTGTGGAGGCTATATTTAATGCAAACAACATCCACCTCCACAGCTTCCACAGCTGCACATCTTATCTTTCCCACCAAAGTATTTTGAAATTCAATGTTGCATCTTTAAAAGAATAGCTAAATTTGCAATGTCTAGCTTTCGCCACTAGATGTCCTCGATGAATTAGATAAAGTCTTTTTCCAACAATCAATTCCTTTTTTCTGTCTTTTAAAGTATAATATAGAATAAAAAAATAATACAGTTCTTGCAAAGAGAGAAGAAAGAAAACCTTTTCCGTCTTTTTTCCTTTTTTGTATCCAAAAAAAGAATATATATATATATATAGAAGTAAAGTATAGTCTATTTCTATATTTACAAAACGCGTTTCTTCCCAAAAAATGCAGAAGCTGCCTTTCCAAGCCAGGGAAATAGTTCCAAAAGCTCTTACAGGTCTCAAAAAAAGAAAAGAAAAATAGAAAAGAGAGAGTTAAAAATAAAGTTCTCACCCGGGCTCACCACAGGGGCACTCACAGTTTAGATGTTCTCTGACTTACAGTCTGAAGCGGCAGGGTGATCGGCCATTTTACTGGCCGATCTTCTTCTCCATCGGCCTCGAAGATTCATCCAGACAGCTGGAGGAGCCACCACTCCTCCTCCGCCGGACAGCAGCCTCCTCAATGGAAAGTCGCACCCTCCAGGGAGACTTTGGACCCGTATAAGGGTCCACCAACGGAGGGAAAACTAGCCGGCGAGGAGCGAAGTCTCCCTGCACGACTAGCGACGCCGCGAACCGGAACCAGAAGTCTCCAGTTGTTCATTGATAAAAATCTTCATTCAATCAGAGTGACCCAGGGTGATGGCAACATTCCTATTCTGGGAAAAGAAAGATGGGACCCTCCGTCTATTAGTGGACTATAGAGGGTTAAACACTGTGTGTGTGTAGAGAACATTTACCCTCTACCTCTGATGAAAGACATGCTAGCCCATCTTGCCAAGATCAAGATAATTACTAAACTAGACTTGCAGGAGTCCTATTACTGTGTGAGGATCAGAGAGAGGATGAATGGAAAACTGCTTTTAATTGCCTGCTGGGCTGTTTCCAATTTAAAATACTCCCTTTCGGGCTACAGAAGTCCCTAGTTATGTTTATGCAATTGATTAATGAGGTCCTGCATCTATACAAGGGGGTGCTTGTGTATTTAGATGACACTTTAATCTACACTGAAATCAAAGCAGAACACGTGAAGCTCGTGAGAACAGTCCTCCAAAAACTATAAGCTGCCAAGGTGTATGTCAAAGTCTCTAAATGCAAGTTCCATTGAAGTAAGATAGATTATTTAGGCTACCGCTTCTCGCATAAAGAATTGAAATGGACCTGGAAAAAGTCAGGTGTGCTGAATTGAGTACCACCCCACACTAGGAAGCAGCTGCAAAGCTTCCTAGGATTTGCAAACTTGCAAACTTTTACTGACAATTCATTCCCTCATTTGCTCAAATAGCTCTCCCCATTACGAATTTACTTAAAAGGAGGGGACAAATCTAAACCTAGTCAACTGCTTAAATGGTTGATGGAATGCCAAGCTGCTTTTGAGAAGCTCAAGTGTTTGTTTGCGGCTGAGCCAGTGTTAAAGTCTTGAGCAGGCAAAACCATTTGTTATACAAGCTGATGCAAGTGATGGCTATGGGAGTAATACTACTGCAGGAAAATGAAAGGACAACTGCAGTCTTGTGCCTACACCTCCCGAAAACTTTCTGAGACTGAGCAACAATGAGCTGTGTGGGAGAAAGAGGCTTACACCAAGAGATGGGCGCTCCTGACCTGGAGACACTTCTTAGAGCTGAATAAAATACCTTTTGAAGTATGGACTGATCATGAGAATTTAGAGGCACTAAAAACTCTTGACAAGCTTTCTCCTGAACAAGCATGATGGGCACAATATCTTAACCGCTTTGACTTCATTCTGCGCTATCTTCCTGGGGGGAAGAATTTTTTGGCAGAAGCACTGTACAATTCCTCCAAAGCAGAAATAATTAAACCAGAGCTCCTCCCCCATCAGTTGGCCACTCAAGTGACCACCTGAGCCCAAGGGAGAGAAAAAACTCCAGTACCCAAAGACTGACTTTTGCCATAAAAGTCACCCTGAAGGATGATAAGTGGTTTTAAACTCACAGCAATGTTTGCTTAATCCAAGACGGACTAGCCTGGGTGGGGGCAAAACTTCATGCTCCAGAGAGTCAGAAACTCATGGTTTTGAGGTGCTGCCATGAGTTAAAAAAGGTGGAATATTTTGGGTTTGTGAAAAAACTGCACTTAGTCAAAAGGCAGTTTTGGTGGCCATCCCTCAAGAAAGACATTGAGGGCTATGTTGCCAGCTGCCCGGTGTGCACTTCGGCAAAGGTCTTGCAAAACCATTCCTGCATCATATTTATCGACTACATGGAGCACCTCAAGACATTATTTCAGATAGGGGGAGCAATTCACTTGCAAGTTCTAGTGAGCCTTCTGGGAGATATTGGGGACTGACCAAGGACTTAGTTCTGTTATCACCCCCAAACGAATAGGATATGTGAACAAACCACCTCAGTATTGAAACAATACCTTAGATGCTTTATTAATTATAAACAAAATAACTGGAATGACCTCTTGCCATTTGCAGAAGTGGCATACAATAATTCTGTATACAGCAGTACTGGTTTCACCCCTTTCCGAGTGGCTACTGGTCAAGATTTCAAGTCTATGCCTGAGCTCCCTGTTGATGACCCTGGGGTGCTGTCTTTGTAGGAATGGGTTTCCCAACTGCAAAACAAGCGGCCCATCATATAAAAAGCACTCGCAGAGGCTTGCGATGCTTATAAAGCACAATCTGATAAAAAAAAAAGGACTGAGCCAAAATCTTTTAAAGTGAGAGACTGAGTTTTCCTATCTACTCATTTGCACTCACTTCAATCCTCTAAGAAATTGGGACCTAAGTTTGTGTGGCCTTTCCCCATTAAGCGCCTTTTACCATGGAACTAGACTTGCCAAAGTCACTTTGCCGAGTCCATCTGGTTTTTCATTGCAGTTTATTAAAACCTGAAGTTTCCTCACCCCTTAGACCAATTCCTCCCCGTCTCTGAACCAATGATAAAGGGTGAACAACATTTTGAAGTGAAGGAGATTTTGGGCTCTCGCAAACATAGGGGAACCTTTAGTATTTAGTGGCATGGAAAGACTTTCCTATCAGCCAGAAGGAGTGGGTTGATTATGGACCTGGTAAATTCCCTAGATTAGTGAAATGTTTTCATAATCAATATCCTGATACCTAAGTGATCTAATTTTATTTTTTCTTCTGCTGGTTTAATCCCTGTCTTTTGAAGTGGCAGCATGTCAGTTTGCCTTTTTAGGTGCCCTGCCATTCTGGTGGGGGGGAGGAGGATGTTTTGGGGCAGCATTCTTTGCATGCTTTCACTTTTGCAGTAACTGCATGAAAATTTGAGAGGGGGGTCATTTTCAGAGAAAAAGTAGACTTCTTCCCGATCAGTTCCACTTCAAGGTCACTGCTCCCTGAGGATGACCCATTATATAGTTTGTATTTCAGCGCTCTCAAAACAACCTTGTGGCATTGTATTGGCTGCTGATAGACTGGTTAGGGTTGGGTTTCAAAGTGTGAAGAATAGCTTGGTGCTTTGTTCAGAAACGTTAGATTTTGTTTGACTTTACTGCAACTACTGTTTCTCAGTAGAAGTTCTTTTGATTAACCACCTGACGTTAAGAGTTCTGCTTTCCTGACTTGGGACAGCTGTGTTAACTCCTTACATGTTTATTTTGAGAAGTGGCAAAAATTGCCAAATTGAGACTCTTGAGGTATTTCATCAGTTCCAACATCTGATGAAATAAGCTATAACGCATAAAAGCTTACGGCTTTTCATAAAATTTCTTAGTCTGGAAATATATCTTTTTGTATTTTTTGCCCTTTAATATTAAAATATGCTTGAGGATTCTTGGAAAATATTTACTAAATTCCAAAAACATCAGACAAATATAAAATACTTTAATATGACAACATATTGAGTCTTAAATTTGGCAAAATTAGATTTGTAATACTTTTTAGCTACAAGGGTAATGGAAAGATTGAGCTATTAAGACAGATTAAACTTTTTAAGTGATAAGGTTAAAATGGAAAATTGTATATATAGTGTGAAGGAAAGAAACGTTGAAAAAAATATTGATGTAAACCTTACAATTAAAAACAATATGGAATTATGAACCATGTTGCATAAGAATGACAACAAAATTTTGTGTATATGTGTGTGTGTATTCATCATATATTTATCATATATATGAATGATTTACCTGAAATGCATATTTTTGTATGTTTCCTTTTTATTAGTATTGCCTACATACACACCCAATGTTCGTCGGTCCAAAAGAATACGTATTAAACCATTGCAATATTGGCGAGGAGAACGTATTGATTATAAGATAAGTGCTTCAGGTATGTAATTCAAGGGCTTTGAATGGGGAAGCTGTTATTATTTGTGATGAAACACTAATTTTTTTAGAAATGCAAACTGAAAAATCTAAAAGATGGCTTTACATTTACTTTGAACCTAAGTGTTCTGCTTCAGCGAAATTCATACTGCACAGAAGTTCATGTTCTCTAAATTTTTGCTATATACATTCTTCTGAAACTCATATATCTCTAAATCTCTACATTGCAAAGATCCAACATTGCCTACATGCGGGAGCTACATGGTAAATATATGTATTTATATAGATATACTAGATAATCAATCAGGCTGAGAGAGAATGGGCCAGGTCAAACAGCTTTTTTTTCATGCCTAAAATGGGACTAGAACTCATAGTCTTCTGATTTCTATGCCTTAACCAGTACACCAACCTGGTAAAATTTGGATTAAAAGGGCTTGGATTATATTTTGTATTTTTAACACAAAATTAAAAAAAAAATAGAATCCAGAATTGTCTGAATAACAATGAAATCCCATGAGACTGTTTGCTTATAGCACAAAGATTTCTACTCCAGATTCCATTCCAATTAAGAAATGGAATCATTTTCTTTTCCAATCACATTATTCAGGAATGTTGTAATAGGAAGTTATGTACACCTACAGTGACGGAAAAAAATTATTTGATCCCCTGTTGATTTTGTACGTTTGGCCACTGACAAATAAATGATCAGTCTATAATTTTAGGTTAGGTTTATTTTAATAGTGAGAGCAGAATAACAGCAAAAAAAAAAAAAAAATCCAGGAAAAGGCATTTCAAAAAAATTATAAATTGATTTGCATTTAATGAGTGAAAGGAGTATTTGACCCCCCTTCGCAAAACATGTCTTAGTACTTGTTGGCAAAATTCTTGTTGGCAATCACAGATGTCAGATGTTTCTTGTAGTTGGCCACCAGGTTTGCACAGATCTCAGGGAGGATTTTGTTCCGCTCCTCTTTGCAGATCCTCTCCAAGTCGTTTTGAGGCTGACATTCGACAGCTCAAACCTTCAGTTCCCTCCACAGATTTTCTATGAGATTAATCTCTGGAGACTGGCTAGGTCACTACAGGAGCTTAATGTGCTTCTTCTTGAGCCACTCCTTTGAGATCTTCGCCCTTGTGTTTTGGGTCATTGCCATGCTGGAATACCTATCCACGACCCTGAGGGAAGGAGGTTCTCACCCAAGATTTGACAGTACGTGGCCCTGTCCATCGTCCCTATGATGCTATGAAGTTGTCCTGTCATCCAAAGCATAATGTTTCCACCTCCTTGTTTGACAGTGGGGATATTGTTCTTGGGGTCATAGGCAGCATTCTTCCTCCTCCAAACATGGCAAGTTGAATTGATGCCAAAGATCTCAATTTTGGTCTCACAATACTTCCACTCAGTTCTCCTCTGAATCATTCAGATGTTCATTGGCAAATTTCAGACGGGCCTCTACATGTGCTTTCTTGAGCAGGGGGACCTTATGGGCACTAAAAGATTTCAATCCTTAATGACGTAGTATGTTATCAATTGTTTTCTTGGTGACTATGGTCCCAGCTGCCTTGAGATCATTGACAAGATCTTCCCATGTAGTTCTAGGCTGATTCCTCACCATTCTCATGATCACTGAAACTCCACAAGATGAGATCTTGCATGGAGCCCCAGACCAAGGGAGATTGTGTTTCTTCCATTTGCGAATAATCATATCAACTGTTGTCACCTTCTCACCAAGCTGCTTGGCGATAGTCTTGTAGCCCATTCCAGCCTTGTGTAGGTCAACAGTCTTGTCCCTGACATCCTTTCACAGCTCTTTGATCTTGGCCATGGTGGAGAGTTTAGAATCTGATTGATTGATTGCTTCTGTCGACAGATATATTTTATACAGGTAACAAGCTGAGTGTAATGGTTCCAACAGATGAAACTCTTCAAAAGAACTTTGAGGCATTGTTTACCGTCAAGAATCTTTATTTTGAGTAGCATAATCTCGGCACTGCTTAATCGAAGCCAAAAACTGAATTCCCCTTCCCTGAGCACCTAGTATCAAAGCACAATTCCCTCCTTCAATCAACAGTCATAAATCACATTCCCCAATTAGCTTGAAGCGGGGGCCTCCTCTTCAGTTCTTCAGCCCACCAATTCCTTATCAGCTCTGGTTAAATAACCTTGTTTCTCACGCTAGGTTTAGTTATGTCTAGCTGGACTCTCGTTCATATCCCCCCCTCCCAGCATCATCTAACTCTAAAAGCAAAAGGTAAAAGATGGCTACATTTCCATCTATTGTCAAAGCAAAAACATCCGATGTTAGCAACGTTGACATCCGCCGCCCCTTACAAAAAGGATAAATCCTGAAGTATAAAGAAAAGCACAGGTTAGGGATTGCCTCTCGGTTTGTTAAGGTGTTTCTTATAAAACCTGTTAAAGAGTATCAGCTTTCACATTGCTAGACTTCAACCAAGTGGCTTCCCTTCCATTGAACTAAATACTGCAATTTCCCTTTAAAAATTCTAGAATCAAGAATACGCTTTACTTCATAGTGGGTCTGTCCTGCCACCACGAGGGGCCCGAGTGCCTTCTTGGGGTGGTCTTAAAGTGGAACCCCAATAAGGTTTCAACAGGCGGCAATGGAAAACAGGGTGATTTTTTCCTAAGAGCTTAAAGAGTTTTAATTCCACTGTAACTGGATTAATGATCTTTACAGTGGGGAAAGGTCCCAAGAACTTCAGTCCTAACTTCTTATTAGGTAATTTGAGCTGTAAATATTTAGTTGACAGATAAACCTTTTCCCCAACTTGGAATGTTCGATGAAAAGCCCTTTTTTATCCGCCTGCTTTTTATATGTCTCGGAAGCCTTTTTTAAAGTGGTTTTTGTGAAACCAGTGCTGCTGTGAACAGAGTTATTGTAAGCCACCTCTGCGAAAGGGAGGAGGTCGTCCAGTTAGGTTGTTGGTAGCTGACATAGCATCTGAGATATTGTTCCACCATTGAGTTTGCGGATTCAGCCGCCCCATTAGTAGATGGATGAAAAGCAGATGATAGACCTTGAGATGAGCCAATTAGTTTAAGAAAACTTCTCCAAAACGTAGCTACGAACTGCACCCCCCCGTCCAAAATTATTCATTTAGGTGCGCCATGCAGCCGGTAGATGTGTTTCAAAAACATTTTGGTCAGTCATTGGGCAGGTGGGAGTCCTTTGCATGCAATGAAGTGAGCCTGCTTTGAGAACAAGTCTATCACAGTCCAAATGACTATTTCCTCTACTTACAGGTAGATCTACTATAAAATCCATCGCAATTTCTTCCCATGGTTGGGAAGGTCTGCCACTGGTTGCAACAGCCCAAGGGGTTTTCCTGGAATTCTTTTCATGGTGGCACATACAGCACAACTCCTGACATAGCTTTTCACATCCCATTTCAGTCCCGGCTACCAAAATTGCTGGCAGATGAGGTGTAGTGTTTTTAAATATCCAAAGTGTCCAGCCTGTTTTATGTCATGGCCATATCGGAGAGCGCTAAGTTGGAGGGTCTCTGGCAAGTATAACTTTCCCACCTTGTAAGTGAAACCATCCCTGCATATTAGGGAGTTTTGATTGTCCTTGAACCATTGGTCAATGAAGAGTTCTTGTTTTATTTTTTTTGCCCCAAGGTCATCAGGGTTAGGGGCTCTTGAATGTGGGACTCTGCGTGGAGTGAATTGAGAGGCTGTTTGTGGATTGGAGATAATTGCCTCATCAACCTCTTCACGCTGGCTTTTGTACTGGGGCAGTTTGAATAGAGCATCAGCTGTTTTTTCCTCCTGGTATGTACTTTAAAGTGAAGTTAAAACGGTTAAAGTACTGCGCCCATCGCACTTGTTTCGGAGATAATTTGTGGGGAGTTTTCAGTGCTTCTAGATTTTTGTGATCAGTCCACACTTTGAAAGGCACCTTGCTCCCCTTTAGATTGTGTCTCCAGTTTAATAGAGCCCAGCAGATTGCGAAAGCCTCCTTTTCCCACAGCCCATCTCCTTTTGCACTCAGTGAATTTTTTTGAGGTGGAGGCGCAAGGTTGTAAGGTCCCACTCTGGTTCTTTTGTAGCAGTACAGCTCCGACGGCCACATCACTAGCATCGGTTTGAATTACAAAGGGCTGCCCTGGGCAGAGATGCTTTAGGACTGGTTCAACAGCAAACAGTCTTTTTAGGTTCTCAAAAGCCTAATGGTTGGCCTTGTCACGGCTTTCCTCCCCCTTTACCTATTTTTAGTAATTCAGTAAGGGGTAGGGTAATTTCGGCAAAAGAAGGGATGAATTGACAGTAAACGTTGGCGAATCCTAGGAAGCTCCGGAGCTGTTTGCGAGTCTTTGGAGGCTGCCATTCAATTACAGCTTTCACATTGGTCAGGTCCATTTCAATGCCCTCGCTGGAAATTCTGTAGCCAAGATAATCTAATCGGGTCTGCTGAAACTCACACTTGGATAGTTTGACATAAAGTTTGGCATTTAACAGTTTTTTTAACATTTCTCTCACTAGTTTTACGTGGTCAGTCATATTCAGGCTGTATATCAGGATGCCATCAAGATACACCAGAACCCCTTTATATAAATGGTCATTTAGAACCTGATTAATCAGCTGCATAAAGACTGCTGGGGGCCCCTGTAGTCCAAACAGCATGGGACAGTTAAAAGGAGTCTTTCACTCATCTCCCTCCTTTATCCTCATCCAATAATATGTCTCCCTCAGGTCTAACTTAGAGAAGACACTCCCCTTTGCCAGGTGGGTTAGTAAGTCCTTCAGAAGAGGGAGGGAGTATTTTCCACACTCATAGCATTCAGACGCTTATAATCCATGCAGAGATTTATTTTATTTATTTATTTATTTATGAGACTTATATACCGCTTTAAGTGCAAGCACTCTCTAAGTGGTGTACACCAGTAAGCAATGTATATATATATATTTACATTGCCCCCAACAGTCGAGGCATTGTTTACCTTAAAGAATCTTTATTTTGAGTAGCATAATATCGGCACTGCATAATTGAAGCCCAAAACTGAATTCCCCTCCCCTGAGCATCTAGTATCAAAGAACAATTCCCTCCTTCAATCAACAGTCATAAATCACATTCCCCAATTAGCTTGAAGCGCGGGCCTCCTCTCCAGTTCTCCAGCCCGCCAATTCCTTATCAGCTCTGGTTATAATAACCTTGTTTCTCACACTAGGTTTAGTGTTCTTATGTCTAGCTGGACTCTAGTTCACATTCCCCCCCCCCCAGCATCATCTAACTCTAAAAGCAAAAAGTAAAAGATGGCTACATTTCCATCTGTTGTCAGGGCAAAAACATCCAATGTTAGCAGCATTGACGCTAAGATTAGGAACACTCCCTTTAAGAAAGTGCTCCTAATTTCAACTCATTACCTGTATAAAAGACACCTGGGAGTCAGAAATCTTGCTGATTGATAGGGGATCAAACACTTATTTCACTCATTAAAATTCAAATCATTTTATAACTTTTTTGAAATGTGTTTTTCTGGATTTTTTGTTGTTATTCTCTCTCGCTGTTAAAATAAACCTACCATTAAAATTACAGACTGACCATTTCTTTGTCGGTGGGCAAATGTACAAAATCAACAGGGGATCAAATATTTTTTTCCCTCACTGTACGTTATCACCTAAATACTGGTGATTTACCCTTATGTTGCCTCTGCATAATGGAACTTTTTATTTTAACTAAATAATTTCATAAAATTCTCTTTATTTGAGAATGTCATTATGAAATTATGGGTGAAAATAGTCATTAAGTTATAGACTTGGTAGTAATTTGCTATAGATAACCCAGTTATTCCAGTAATTCCATCCCATCTTGAGTAAAACAATTTATAATTGGTATTATATAGAATGCAATTAATTTTTTATTGTTTCAGGAGGCTTTATAATTGGTGGAATAATATCACCTGAACAAAGAGAATCTAGGAAACCTAAAACGAAAGTTGCTACGAAATCTGTTTCAGAGATGGGTATGGTCATCAGAGCATTATATATGTAGATCAACAATCTTTCTAAATTACAAGTAGTTCTTGAAGTTCTGGCCATCCCAGCATTCTAACAATTGTGTCTAATCTGGCAACCAGCTTACATTAGCATCACATGCTCTCACATGCTCTATAGCAGGCACCCGAAATCCTTCTATGCTCATGCTTGCTTCTATCACAACCTCCTGCATCCTGTAGTAACCACTGCAAACTGCACTACTATAATCCTTGCACATTCTCTCCACCCTGCAGCAGCTATTCTAAGCTCATTTGCATGACATATGCCCCCATGAACTTTCCTCATGTTGTACCTGCCCTTGTGTGCCCTCGCCCACCTCTCAGCAGCCATTCCAAGCCCTGCTGTGCGCATTTGCCCCTGCCCCTCATATACCCTCCTGCAACCTGCAGCAGCTAGCTCAAGCCCCCCACACTTTCACCAAACCTGCCCCTCATTCATCCTCCTGCACTAGCCCCAAAGCCCCATTATGCTTATGCCTGCGAGCCTGCTTGTGTACTGCCTGGGACTTGCAACTTCCTGTCGTCTTCCTTACTGACTTTAGTTGTTGAAAACTGGCACAGGATTGCAAGGAGGACCTTGGTTAATGAAATAGGGACTGTGACATTTCGGTTGTTAAATAATGTGGTCTCTGGATATCACACTTTTACAGGCATGTAAACAAATTTCCACATAGAATACTACCACCCATTTTATTTTGTAAAAAAGCTTGTAGGAGTATAGGAATAAGATAATGCTGGAGAATAATGCTGTGTTCCTCAGCCCTTTATAAATTATTATTTTAAATGTAAAAAATTAAGTATACAGCTTGACAGATATCAAGAAAGAACATATTAGTGTAGAGACAGACTAATTGATATGGTTAATTCAAAATACATGATGTATATATTATCTTTTTGATCAGTAAAAATAATCTCAGCACTTGCTGTGCATCTGCTGCAATCACCAGAATTGCAGCAATGAGTTTCTGTTTAAATAAGATACAATGGAACTTTTCTGCAATCATCCTGAGCATCGGAATATCTCTGAAATTCAGAAAAATCTAAAAGAAAAGATCATTTTCCAAGAACATATTTGGTATGAATATCAAAGTTAATCAAAATTTATGAGCTCTGCTGAATTTGAAATAGAAAAATAGCAGGGGAGATCTTTCATATCTACCTATTAACCTTGAAAACAGCACTGTTGGCAGTTAAGTAGGGCAGAATATTTCAGAGTATTTCTATTTATCCACTATTATTGGTTGTAAGACATTGACAATCCTGATTAGAGGCTAGGGGTATGTAGGGGAAGATCAGTGATCAAATACTTTTTCCATTCCAGCAGTCATATAAGAATGTTGTGTTATATAGAGAGCACCACTATTTTCTCTTCCTCAGTAATCAAGACTTACATATATGTATAATATGAACCTTGGGAAGTGCCGACAAGTAGTTTGATACCGTCATGGTGATATAATATCTATATAGATTTGGAAAATATTCAGAACCTATGTTCCTTGAATTGGGCAATGGGTTTGAGAGACTGGGGTTGTTGTTGTTAACTGCGAAGTTGTGTCCGACCCATCGCGACCCCATGGACAACGTTCCTCCAGGTCTTCCTGTCCTCTACCATCTTCTGGAGTCCATCTAAGTTCACACCTAGTGCTTCAGTGACTCCATCCAGCCATCTCATTCTCTGTTGTCCCCTTCTTCTATTGCCCTCAATCTTTCCCAGCATTAGGCCCTTTTCCAGTGAGTCCTTCCTTCTCATTAGGTGGCCAAAGTATTTGAGTTTCAACTTCAGGATCTGGCCTTCTAAAGAGCAGTCGGGGTTGATCTCTTCTAGGACTGACCGGTTTGAACGCCTTGCAGTCCAAGGGACTCGCAGGAGTCTTCTCCAGCACCATAGTTCAAAGGCCTCAATTCTTTTGCGCTCAGCCTTTCTTATGGTCCAACTTTCACAGCCATACATTGCAACTGGGAAAACCATGGCCTGGACTATACGCACTTTTGTTGGCAGGGTGATGTCTCTGCTTTTTAGTATGCTGTCTAGATTTGCCATAGCTTTCCTCCCCAGGAGCAAGCGTCTTTTAATTTCTTGGCTGCAGTCCCCATCTGAGGTGATCTTGGAGCCCAGAAAAATAAAATCTGTCACTACCTCCATTTCTTCCCCATCTATTTGCCAGGAATTGAGAGGGCCGGATGCCATGATTTTGGTTTTCTTAATGTTGAGTTTCAAGCCAACTTTTGCACTCTCCTTCTTCACCCGCATCAAGAGGCTCTTTAGTTCCTCTTCACTTTCTGCCATTAGAGTGGTATCATCTGCATATCTTAGGTTGTTGATATTTCTCCCGGCAATCTTAATTCCAACTTTTGATTCATCTAGCTCTGCCTTTCTCATGATGTGCTCTGCATATAAGTTAAATAGGCAGGGCGACAGTATACAGCCTTGCCGGACTCCTTTTCCAATTTTGAACCAATCAGTGGTTCCGTGTCCAGTTCTCACTGTTGCTTCTTGACCGCATATAGGTTTCTCAAGAGACAAATGAGATGGTCTGGTACTCCCATCTCTTTAAGAACTTGCCACAATTTGTTGTGATCCACACAATCAAAGGCTTTTGCATAGTCAATGAAGCAGAAGTAGATGTTTTTCTGGAACTCCCTAGCTTTCTCCATGATCCAGCGTATGTTGGCAATTTGATCTCTAGTTCCTCTGCCTCTTCGAAATCCTGCCTGTACTTCTGGTAGTTCTCGATCCACATACTGCTGGAGTCTAGCTTGTAGGATTTTAAGCATAACTTTACTAGCATGTGAAATGAGTGCAATGGTGCAATAGTTTGAACATTCTTTGGCATTGCCTTTCTTTGGAATTGGAATGTAAACTGACCTTTTCCAATCCTGTGGCCACTGTTGAGTTTTCCAAATTTGCTGGCAAATTGAGTGTAGCACTTTTACTGCATCGTCTTTTAAGATTTTGAATAGCTCAGCTGGAATACTGTCACCTCCACTAGCTTTGTTGTTGCTCAGATTTTCTAAGGCCCATTTCACTTCACATTCTAGGATGTCTGGTTCGAGGTCAGTGACCATCTCATTGTGGTTATCTGGGATGTTAAGCTCATTCTTGTATAGTTCTTCTGTGTAGTTTTGCCATCTCTTCTTAATCTCTTCTGCCTCTGTTAGGTCTCTGCCATTTTGGTCCTTTATCATGCCCATCTTTGCATGAAACGTTCCCTTCATATCTCCAATTTTCTTGAAGAGATCTCTGGTCCTCCCTATTCTGTTGTTTTCTTCTATTTCTTTGCACTGTTCATTTAAGAAGGCATTCTTATCTCTTCTAGCTACTCTCTGGAATTCTGCATTCAATTGGGTGTATCTTTCTCTTTCTCCTTTGCCTTTCGCTTCCCTTCTTTCCTCAGCTATTTGCAAAGCTTCCTCAGACAGCCATTTTGCTTTCTTGCATTTCTTTTTCTTTGGGATGGTTTTAGTTGCTACCTCTTGTACAATGTTGCGAACTTCCATCCATAGTTCTTCAGGCACTCTGTCTATCAGATCTAATTCCTTAAATCTATTTGTCACCTCTACTGTATATTCATCAGGAATATGATTTAGTTCATACCTGAGTGGCCTAGTGCTTTTCCCTACTTTTTTCAATTTAAGCCTAAATTTTGCAACGAGAAGCTCATGATCTGAGCCACAGTCAGCTCCTGGTCTTGTTTTTACTGACTGTATACAGCTTCTCCATCTTTGGCTGCAGAGCACATAGTCAATCTGATTTCTATGTTGACCGTCTGGTGATGTCCATGTGTAGAGCCGTCTCTTGGGTTGTTGGAAAAGAGTGTTTGTTATGACCATCGTATTCTCTTGACAAAATTCTATCAGCCTGTGCCCTGCTTCATTTTGTACTCCAAGGCCAAACTTGCCTGTTATTCCGGTTATCTTTTGGCTTCCTACCTTAGCATTCCAATCCCCCATGATGATAAAGGACATCATTTTTTTGGTGTTAATTCTATAAGGTGCTGTAGGGCTTCATAAAACTGGTCAATTTCATCCTCTTCAGCACCAATGGTTGGGGCATAGATTTGGACTATTGTGATATTGAATGGTTTGCCTTGGAGTCGAATTGAGATCATTCTGTCATTTTGGGGATTGTATCCCAGTATTGCTTTTCCTATTCTTTTATTGACTATGAAGGCTACTCCATTTCTTCTGAGGGATTCTTGCCTACAGTAGTATACCTGATGGTCATCTGAGTTAAATTCACCCATTCCTGTCCATTTTAGTTCGCTGATTCCTAAGATGTCGATATTCATTCTTGTCATCTCTTTTTTGACTACATCTAGCTTGCCTTGATTCATGGATCTTACATTCCAGGTTCCTATGGAGAAAAGATCTTTACAGCATCGGACTTTCCTTTCACCACCAGATATATCCACAGCTGAGCGTCCTTTCGGCTTTGGCCCAGTCGCTTCATTCTTTCTGGCGCTACTAGTACTAGCCCTCTGCTCTTCCCCAGTAGCATATTGGACACCTTCCGACCTGAGGGGCTCATCTTCCAGCGTCATATCTTTTTGCCTTTTAGTACTGTCCATGGGGTTTTCATGGCAAAGATACTGGAGTGGTTTGCCATTTCCTTCTCCAGTGGATCACATTTTGTCAGAACTCTCTGCTATAACCTGTCCATCTTGGGTGGCCCTGCACGGCATAGCTTATAGCTTCATTGAGTTACGCAAGCCCCTTCGCCACAAAAAGGCAGTAATCCATAAAGGGGACTGGGGACTTAATAGTTTGCATTTTGTAGCAATATTGTTTGCATTAGAATAATTGAGAATAAGTTCAAATTAATTTTGCAAATGTTTTATGGTTCATTTTTCCTGATGGATATATAGCGTATGACTTCATTTGTCTTTTATATAAACAGAAGTTACAAAATAGTTGGGCCTCACCATTTTTTGAACAATCTATGATTTTTGTTTAAATTTGAACTAGTAAAATTTCTAGGCCTGTTTTTTAATAGAAAATAAAGGTAGTCGTTGCTTAGCACTTAAGGAAAGATTTGATATTTGGACTTATAATTGACTTCCTATTGACTTCCACATTGATTTTGCTTTCCGCAAGCAGTAGGAAGTCACAAATCAAGGGCAAGTGAGAACCTCACTTAACAACCCATAATCCTTATTTAATGAAGCAATGGGGATTGCTGAGATTGCTGTAGCTAAGCTATGTGGTCACATGACATTGCATTCCACAATTGCATCACTTAGCAATGGAAATTCTGTTCCCACTTAGGGACTACTTGTAACTATGTCTACCCTTCAGCCTAGTCCTCTGTATTTTGTTTTGCAGAGAATTTGCATAATAACTCAATTATCAAGGAACATTTTTCTCAGCCAGCTGTTGTTTTTGATGAAACATCTAATCAACAAATTCTTCTAGGTGAGTGATATGACATAGTTTTAAAAATGTTTATGATAAATATGAGATTTGTTTAGTGTATGGTATGAAATACATAGCAGCAGTAAAAATGTATGAAAAGAACACATAATAATACGATACACATACAATGATGTGTGGTTAATTTTGTAAGATATAAAAAATTATATAAGAAGTTATATATTAAGTTATAAGATAAATTTTAAAATAAGTTAATTCATAAAATAAGTGTTCTATATATTAATATCTAGGCCATTTATCTAATTAAGCATGGTATTTATTAATTGGAGGAAGTCTACTTTTCCCCTGTATAAGTTCTCAGATGGCAATTAGTCACTACATGATCCAGTGTCTTCTGGGCGGCACCTTGTACAAATATGAGAAATTGTGCTTTATTCTAATACAAGTCTTTCAAAAACTACAGTCATTTTCTTATGTGGATGGGTCCCCCTGACTTTATCAGCACATACATTGATCATTTCCAATACTATTTGTAACATTTTTTCTGAAGATATATCTATCTGGGCTCTGGAGATATTTTAGCTGATCTTTTTAAAAAATAATATTTTATTAGTTTTCTAATTTTACAATTAAGTATTTAAAAAGCAACATGGTGACTGGGTTAATCAATAGTTCAATAACATACATAAATCTTTAGTATAACTCTCAAGTTACAACATCAGATATTTCCTCTCTTTTTCCCTTAATATCTACTATCTCATATTAGGTTAATACAGTTCTTATTATTATCAACTAAGTAAAAACATCTTTGTTACATTTATCAATCATTTTTAGTTTATACATATCTTAATTGTGTTGTCATTCAACCCTTGTATACAATCAATGTCCTGTTATTGCTTTTTTCCCAAGCTTTAATTTCCCATCAATATTCAAATTAACATTTGATATTTATAATTTCCAAGCTTTAGAAGTTTCCCTTATCTCAATTTCTTCCTTTTTCCCTTTGCATAACAAAATCTAATATTCTAAATACACATCTTATGTATTTGAATATAGTCTTGTTCTGTTTTCTAAAAGTTATCTATTTTCCAACCATATTAAACCATTTAATTAATAATACAGTATCCCCTCTAATAATTCAAAACCATTATATGTATTGTCTGGGTTAACCAATAAATCAGTAATATAAATAATTTTTTTCGTTTAGGTCTAATTTTTAAAAGCTCAAATACTCCCTCTCTTTTTCTGGTAATATCTATTATCTCCTATTGAGCAAACATAATTCTTATTTTGAACTGACTTCCAAATATTTTATATTAGATGACCAAAATTTCCCTTATCTCAATTTTTCCCTTTTCATACCAAAGTCTTTTAGTATTAGTCTTGTTACCCATCTTACCTATTCAATTATAATGTTACTTTATTTTCTAAAAATTATCTATTTTCCATCATATTCAACCCTTTAGTTAGTAATATGAAACCCTCTCTAATAAATCAAAACCCTTATTTTCTTCAGCCATACTCTGGCTTTCTTCCTTTGCCAACTAACCTTCTATGTCAGTGCTTTTGAACCATCAAATAGTTCTCCCTCTATTATTCTATATATTATTTGGACTAAGAAAGACCATTTGATTGCAGTTTTTTTGGAAGAACTAGCCCATTTGTATTCATTAGATAGCCTCCCTATTATTCCAGTTTCCCACAATTGTCCTTATAGGTTTACCTTTCATTCAATCTGTTCTTCCTTTTCCTCAAATTTCTTCTGATTTTTGTAAAAAGTCTTTTCCATTTTCAATGTTGTCCCTCCCTTTTTTGATTTTTCCGTTGGCTGGATCTGTTGGTCAATTGAGTCCTCTGTCTTAGTGTTTAGTTGTTCCACTTCTCCTGTTATTTTCTGCATAGTTAGTTCTTTGGTTGGAGTCAAGATCTGGGTTTGTATATTTGTATATCTTGTTCCTTTATGTTGCATCTTATTTTGTCCCAAGCTGAAACAATGGTTTCATGTATTGATTTCAACATGGAAAGGATTGTTTGTCAAGTAAGGGTTTATAGTCCACCATCTCGTATAATAACATATGCTTCTCATGTAAAGTAATAGGAAAGCAATTTCCCACATATAGCTCTGAAAGTCAGTAAAAGTTTACATTCATAGTTCAAACAGCCAGATATGCTGCCCAGAAGTTCCTTCTTTGCAGCTGAGTTTTTCACAGGTGGTAGCTGTCAAGGTCAGAAAAGTTTTTTCTGGATTCTGGACTTCAAGCCAAGCCTCTTTTAGACAATAACAAGTTGTAATACCATACTTCGCCACAAGATGTCACCAATGCCATTTAAACTTTTTAAGTCTAAAGTTTTTATGATAGTTTTTCAGGTCTTATTTCTTTTTTTAGATAAAAACAAACGTCTCCAGTAAGAATAGGGACACTTTTAGTCCACAAGTTTCAAAAGCATATACATCCAATTAGATTAAAATTGTTCTTATATTTGCTCTGTTTCCCCTGGGTATTTAGTCGCCACTTTTCTGGTTTGCCATCGCGGTGCTGCGGACGCTGGAAGATGAGCTCCATCTTTCGCGTCCTAATTCATCCTGCTGGGGGACCCTGGAAAAGGTTGAAAGTCTCCTTGTAGGGGTGATGAGCAAGGAGGGGACCCCTGCTTGATCACAAGAGGACGGCAGCCCTTCTGTATGATCTGGGGAAACCCTCCAAACTGGCGGGGGAAAGACTGATCATAGCAATATGGCTCGTCACTAAGCTGCTGACAGCTGAAGTCAAAATCACCACCAAGCACCTTTAAAGCAACACGGATAAAACTGAGTGAGATCTGATCTTCTCTTTAAGGCTTTAAGTATTTTTTCCTGCAAAAGCTGCCCAAAGTATCTTCCCCCCTGTGTACGCTTCTTGTATGTATCTTCTTGTATTGCTTCCTTACTCATTTTGGCAAAGGATCTACTCTTCCTTCTCCTGCCAATCTACTGTCAACTTAAATAATACTCTGCCCTTCAGCAGATAAGTCAACAACAAAACTTCCATAAGCAGTGCAAAACTTTGTGCAGTTATTATTGCACTAAACTCAAAAATATACAAACACTACAGAGTGTAATTTTCTACATAGCAGAGGAAAGCAGAATCATAACCCATTTTTATGTATAAAATATTCTTAACTTTGCATATTATATACGCTACAGTTTTAATATTGCCTAGGGCACAGAATGTGCTTATGGCTTCTTTGTTATTATTTTATGAAAATATAAACAGATTCTTGCCTATGAGTGAAAGTGCGAGAATGCAGTATGTATTATCTAATATTTCCTTCTGTGAATATTGTTGTTTTCTGATTTTATAACAGAATGCATGAACAATGGTAGTTCACCTGTGTATTGCATTAGTAATGAAACATTGTCCGTTTATAAATACTTGAATACATCTTCATTTTCTTCTGGAAAAATAATATTACATCCATTAAAAGAAAAGGGATATCAATATTCCTACACAGACACATTGGTAAGTATTTTATTTCTTTTATTTCTAATTTGTATTTGCAAGATTAATACTTAATATTGCATTGCATTTTAGCCAATTATTCTTTCTCACAGAGCAGGGATTAACTATTTTTCTTCCAATCTTATATTAACAACACTTGTTTCTTCCCACTACTGTGGGCTAATTAATTTTGATCCTTTATGTTCTTAGTTTGTCTGGTGCCTTTATGCATGAATATGTTTTCTTTTTTCCATTCAGGAGGGATGCTCTAAACAGTTAATCACAAGTAAAGAAAAATAGGTGTGTTTATAGTGTATTGATAGAATGTACAGTTTGGGCTGAAAATAACTTCTGTTATATAGACTTCTGGAGTTCAACTATTCTTTTAGCTTAATTTTAAATGGTGTTCATATATAAAATACTCAGGCTATGAGATTATAAATAAAAACAGGTATGTAATCATTTTAACATATAATAGTTAACAATGAAAATTTTGTTGATATTAATAGTTGAAAATTAAAATTTTCACACTTAGGAGCATGTAATGTAAATTGTAACTTCTGAAAGTTAATATATCTCAGTCCAACTCCTCTCACAGGTTTATTGTAGGAAAAATATTAGGAGGAATGTGTGTTGGATATGTTCACCACCTTGAGTTATTTGTAAAAATAATAAAGGCAAGTTACAAATAAATTAAAAAATGTTCAGATGTGCAGAGAAAGAGCAACAAAGATGATTAGATGATTGGAGGCTAAAACACGAATGGTTGCACTAGTATATCTAAGGAAAAAAGGATTAGAGTGACATGATAGTAGTCTTCCAATATTCAAAGGGTTGTCATAAAGAAGAGGGGTCAGCCTATTCTCCAAAGCACCCAAAAGCAGGACAAAGAACAATGGATGGAAACTAATCAAGGGGAGATCCAACTTAGAACTTAGGAGAAATTTCCTATCAGAACAATCAATCAGTGGAATGGCTCGACTTCAGAAGTTGTGGCTGCTTCATCGCTGGAGGTTTTTAAGAAGAGATTGGACAGCCATTTGTCTGAAATGGTATCGATCTCCTGCTTGAGGATTGGGGTTAGACTAGAAGACCTCCAAAGTCCCTTCCAACTTTATTCATTCTGTTCTGTTTTATGTAATTTAAGATGGTGGCGCCTTGTTTGGCTGCGGCTGCTTCAGTTCTCAAAAGTGTTGGGGTTATGAACAATCCGGACTGAAGCACTTTTCAAAAATAGTGACAAGTAAGCAGAGTTGGATTGCTAAACTGTCATACGAATATCAGTCCATATTAGAGATGAAGTTATTTAGTGAGAGAGGAACTGTCAAGAAAACTGTTCTGGAGAATCTGCATGGCCTTGGATTACTAAGGGGGGAAAAAATCAACAACGGAGGTGCCGGGGGTTGACAAAGAGGGTGAGAGATCGGCTGCATTGTGTGGAGGAGCGGGGAGGAAGAAAGGGAATTACTGGAGGTGGAAACAGTGTCATGCTCAGTGTTTTGAGCAGTGAAAGCAGCATTTTGGGCAATGGGCAGAGTGGGGTGGCAGTCATTGCAACTAGGAAGTTTCCCTCCATTGCTGACCATCTTTGGAAGAAAAGGAGAAGTTGTGACCAAAAGAGGAAACGTGTCAAACGCGGAGGCCTAACATGTAGGCTAAAAGCTAAACCACACAGATTGGCATTTCCATTTATTTTGTTTGCAAATGTTTGCTCCTTAGAGCCAAAAATAGATTACTGTCATTTCTAGCTACCTACTCTGATAAAAACCCATTTCTTACTCTCTCTGGATTCTGTCATACTACGAAAGGGGAGGAGGATAAGCAAGGGGGTTTTATGACTCTCACTTCCTTCATTAAACTACAAAGTGACTGGATGTTGATTCTCATCAAGAGGACTGACCATCGCCATTCATTTATTCTCTCTGAAATCTCTCTTTTGCCGGCAGTGAGGGAAAAGGGGGGAACAATGCAATGCCTGGGATCTGGGAAAAGAGAGGATGAGTGATCATCGCCCAGAAGAACTGTGGGGTGGGGGCTGCTTGGAACACTTTAAAACATTGAAGGATGGGAGAGAATTGCCCAGATCCTGTCTAGCATGCCTGCAATCATTTTCTCTTAATAAAGATGCCTGTTGGAAGAGACATTCCAAGAGTTCTGTCTTCTTAAGATGTAAAGTGAGGTGGGTCCTTACATTAGACAGGATCTGCAAAATTAGTCCACCTGGAAGGGACAACCTTGCCAGGGGATTTTGCAAAAAATATCATGTCAGACAATGGAGCAGGGACGGGAGAAGCCCCCTGGAGAGGGAGCCGTTGCCCCGACTGAAAACTTGCCAGATGTCGGGATCTGAGAGGTCAGATTCCTCAGGAGAAGAGGTGGTGAAGACGTGTAACCACAAACCTCGGTGGTCAATGGGCGTTGGAAAGAAAGGCGAGTGGGAAAAGAAATCAAGAAAGGTGACCCTGAGACGGGGGGCCAACCAACCAGAATGAAAGCAGGAGATGGGGAAATTCCTGTATGCAAGCGAAGAGGAAGGAAGCTGGGCACCACACTCAAGCTGGATCCTACAGAAAGCTATTGATTTGATGAAGAGAACCCTCAGCTCCCTAGGAGAGGAGAATTCTGTGCCCTACGGCCACACCAGCTCCTGGAGCCACAACTGGAGAGACATCGAGGGGGAAATGGAATCTGCAGCCCCGGGGACATTCGCTGATCCAGTAGTCCCCACTCCCTGCCGACCCACAGATGGCGATCTGGATGGAAGACAATACCACTGATAATGAAGGCACCGATCCATTCAAAGACTCCCACTGCTGGATGTGAGATTCAAGGGGGAGCCGACACACTTGGGGTTTTTCCTAACCCAAGTCCTCAGCTACATGGAGGAATACAGGTGGCACATCCCCAGCAACAAAGCCCGTATCTGGATCATGCAATCTGCTCTGGATGGGCCAGCCTCAGATTGGGTAGTGAATTTGCACGACTCCAATGCCCCAGAGCTCAGCGACTTCAACCGTTTCATGTTCTCTCTGAGAAGGCGATTTGAGGACCCCCTGGCTGATCGCAAAGCCTGCGAAAGGATAAAAACGAGGTAAGGCAAATGCCCAGTAGCCGAATATATGCAAGAATTCCGGGCCATTGCCAGCAAACTGAACTGACCGGAAGACATCCTCCTTAGCCATTTCAAAGACGGACTAAACTATACGATGCTTCCCTGCCCTGAGGGGACCTACACCAACTCGACGAATGGTACATCCTGGCAGAGGAAGCAGAGATTGACCTACTGAACCACCGAGGAAAACAATGGAGCCGCTCACCGCCTGAGTCAACACGTGAGCCAGTGAAACTATTGGCTACAGCCAAGAAGCAAATGGGGTGTTTCAAGTGCAGGAGAGAGGGGCATCGGGCTGTAGAATGCTGCTCGAAAGCTTCCCAGCACAACCCAGACACATCACCGGCAAGCAAATCCGGAACGTCTCCAGCTAAGCCAAAAGAACCTGCCATGAGAGTGATGGAGGCTGTGGAATCCCCTACCTCTGCTCATCGGGGAGAAAGAACTCCAGCCTACACTGCAGGGCCAGTGGATGCCTCAGACGACAGCTCGGAGGGCAAACCCCTGGTAAGTGGACTCATTGCACCCATCCTCAAGACAGTGACTGTATTAATTCTCTCCATGCCCGAAGCTGTCAAGGTGAAAGCCTTAATAGACTTTGGTTGCAACCGCTGCCTCATTAGCCCGACGCTAGTAGGAAACCTGGGCATTCCGTCGAGACTGGAACAACCAATCTCATTTGGCCAGTTAGATGGGTCCATAGCGGGGGGGGGGTGCCAGCTACCGTAGCAACTTTACCAATCCACCTCTCCCTGGGCAAACATTTGGAAGACATAACGTTTGTAGTGACCCCAGGCATGGAATGCCTGATGATCCTAGGGATGGAATGGTTAAAGAAATGGAGCCTCTGGGTGAATTGGAGGACGGTAGAAATCAATTTCCCAAAAGGGGATCCTATGGACTTAGAACCCCAAGGGAATCTACCAAAATTAAGAACGGAAAAAGCATCCATGGGAGAGGAAAAGTGGCTACCAGAAATACCAGAGGAATACAGAGATCTTGCTGAAGTTTTCAGTGAGGAGAGGGTGGATGAGCTTCCCCCCCCCCCCACCGACCTACGGACTGTGCCATAGAATTCAAGTCCGGAGCAAAACTCCCAAAGCCCAGATTATACTCCATGAGCCCAAAGGAAAAGGAGGAAATGGAAAGATTCAAAAAGAAAAACCCTAGAAAGGGGATTCATTGAACCTGCCAAGCCTAAAGTGGCCGCTCCAGTCCTCTTTAGAGAAAAGAAGGAAGGCTCTTTATGCTTATGCGTGGATTATAGTGAAAACAACCTATATCCCCTACCCCTCATGAAGGACATGTTATCACACCTCTCGAAAGGAATTTTTTTTACTAAACTAGGTCTAAGGGAAGCATACTATCGCGTGAGAATTAAGGAAGGGGATGAATGCAAGACCGCATTTAACTGCCCAATGGGGTGCTACCAATTCAAAATCTTGCAATTTGGATTACAAGGGGGGCCCACAGTATTTATGCAATTAATCAATGAGGTACTACGGGAGCACCTATTTAAGGGGGTCCTGGTTTACTTAGACGACATCCTTATCTTCACCGAATCAAAAGAGGAAAATGTCAACCTAGTCAGAGCGGTTCTAAAGAAACTGTGAGCTGCCCACCTATATGCTAAACTATCAAAATGCGAATTCCACCAGGAAAGAATAAACTACCTAGGTTATCGCATATCCCCACAGGGCATTGAAATGGACCCAGAGAAGGTCAGAGCAGTATTAGAATGGACACCACTTCACACAAGAAAGCAACTGCAAAATTTATTACTTGCGGCTAGATTTAACAACAAACTGGGAGGTGAGAAACTGCTGTGTCATAATTGCAACAGAAACCCGGTTAAAGCCCTCTGTCTCAGATAGTGCTATTAACTCGATGGGATTTTCAACATTTTGGC